GTGGTGCTTAGTTGCTGGCTGGGGCTAAACCACGACAATTGTGCAATTGAATAAAACTTTTCATTTAAATTTAATTTTTTCTTTCTGGCATTTTAAAGTATCATTATCCTAATATTTTATGCAAACTGAACAGCAAATTCTCTTAGTGAAACAAGTGGAAATAAAGTACTTTCAAAACTTAATTTTTCCAGCAACATTCTGAAACAGGAAACCCACTTACAACAATTCTTCTCCATTTCATTTTGATCGTTTTTTTCCATCTAAAAGCCTAACAATTAAGACATTTTCCTGCCTTCAGATACAAATGTCAGTCAATGTTTCTCTCATTATCAACCTAGTGGGAAGCCATAAAACAGTGGGATATTCGCTTGGGTACAAGTATGCACATTTTTAAATTTAAAATACCTTTAAAATGATGAAATAGACTTATTAAAATTAATTATTCTACCAATCATCACCCAGCAAAGAATACCGCAAAGGCCAAAATTTTAAATCCTTGCTACCGCTGTTCTCTTTCTTGCTTTCTCCTACTTTTGTCTTGGTTTTGTCTCCACATCTTTCTCTATGTCACATGTCTGGCCTCCACACTCCCTTTTGGATGATGGAACTAAAGGACTGGTTATTGTCTCAGTTCCCCTTCAAAGCTGCTGTGTGGAGAAAAATGGGTAAGTGAGAGAAAGAGCAGCTGCTGTACAGCAGGAGGAATCTAAGTGTTCCTGTATTTGCTAAGTGAGTTTGGATTATGGTTGAAAAACTTATTTGTGGGTGTCTCAGCAGCACTAATAAAATGCTGAGTGGATCTTTTCTTGGGTGAAACTATCCAGGGAACAGAATGCCACCTCTGAATCCTGAAATGGATCCACAGATGAATAATGTCTATACAGCTAACAGTGTGGAAACTTCCAAGGGGCTCTTCCAAAAAAGCTGCATGTCCTCAGACAGACCTAATTTCTGTTTGTTACCCTGGCTGTTACATGACTGTATCCAGAGAGAACAAACATGGCATTTGCTTTGGAGAAGTTCCAAGATAACACTATGAGAAAAAGCTGAAAGGAGACATTTTCATGTTGTCTTATGACAAGATGGTATAACAGAAGTGGCAAGTCACTGTCAAAGAACTGGGATTCCGCTTGCTTCTTGGTCTGATTCTTGAAAAAACCCACAGGCACTTTCTTCCATCTCGAGGCAAGATGGTGTGAATGAGATGTTTTTGGCTGATCTGAGCTTGGCTGTGGAGACATAAGCTGAAGATTCTCCAAGAGCTAGGTTTGGAGAAACAACATAGGAGATTTGTCCCTGCATACAGAGCCAGACTGAACCTTGGTGTTGGATATGTGGATAGTGAAACATGTAAGGACCTCACCAGGGTTCCTAAACCTCTGTGAAAGAGTGAAGGCCACTATTTACAGTGATCAGTTGCTGGGCATATGGTATGGAGAACTCGGCTGGTTCTGAAGCTAGATCTTCATGCTGGCAGTCCAACTTTAGCCCTTTTTGCTACCCAAGTCACCAACAGATTCCCCAAGGTTTTTGTCTCAGAGTTTTTGGTCCTCTTGGCCAGAGGTGAGGAACTTCAAAAATCCATGGCTGTTAAAACAGACGGCTAAGACGTAATGTGGCATTAGCTGAAAGGACTCCCTTGCCACACACAGATGGGTAGAGATGTAGCACAAATTCTGGAATGTCTTTTCAGGTTCTGCTCAGAAGTTTCTGAGAAAGCACATACAAAAAGGCAGACAGGTGGACAGCAAAGTAAATGTATTCTACCAAAGAATGTACAGTGGCACGCTAACTCCTCTGGGTTGTGGAGCGCATGCACTGCCTTTTTTACTCATATACATTCCTACAGCAACAGACATTTTTATTTACTCTACGATGTGACAAGGCATATATACAGTATGCCTGCATGTGGCATATTACGTAAAGATAGAAAAAAGCTTATTTTCTTTAATATGCAACTCTAAAATAGAGACTGTAGCTTAACTTTCTATAAATGTACATCAAAAATTAAATGTATCTGCCACAGTGCAGCGCATTACTAGAAGTGAAGAAAAGATATATGCAGGCCTTAAGTTATGTTTAAAAAGCATGAGAATTACAACAAATTAAGTAGTGTTACAAGAAGTTAAATTGATGTAAAGCAAGAAAAAATGAGTAAGGTTTCTATTCTTATTTAATGTATTCTGTCTTATGCATTTTGAAGGATAAATTCTTACAAGTAAATCCCTGGCACCTCCAGGTTTCAGACCTGTATCTTTATTTCATTCTTTCCAGAGCTCTTTCAATATACCATTATAAATATTTTACTAAATTCTCTCTTCCATTCAAGACATAATCCAATCTTGATTCTGCTGCCTGCATATCCATTTGGGACTACTGGAATCACCACAAGCATTAATGTAAATGCACTTTTCTCTGCATTTTTCATCAGCTTTCACCCATTCATCCATTTAATTTCTTATGTGGACTGTTTAAATACTAGACTAAATTTTCAGAAGGAGAACTGTCCAGTGATCTTTGTTTTACAGCATCAATGCTTTGCAAGCTTAATGGCTAGTCCAAGGGATTTTCTACATGGAGAAATACCTCCAAATAATTATGAAACAGTTGCTGCTGCACTACGTGTTCAGATGGATAATTTCATGACTTGGTAAGAATGCTCTTCTGCAGTTTATCATAGCATATTTTAGGTAGTCTAACTAAATTCATTTTAAGAAAACAAACCTCCTGCAGCAGATCCTCTACAGAATGGTTGAATCGATCCACAAATTCATCAATGAGTTGGCTGTGGGCTATGTCAACTCTGTTCTGGATTGTATATTCTTCACTACATAGTATGCTGTAGGTTTTACTGCAGGCTTCGAGAACATCTGATTCCACATGCTTTTCCACAACAAACTTAATCTGTTTCAGTAAGGCATCCAGATGCTGTAGATCAGAAAAGAAGTTCAGCTTTCACCTTACCTGAACAATGAAACTCAAAGAAAAAGTCATTCAAAGAATACACCAAATCAAGGTTAGATTACTAATATGCCGAATGAAGGCACAGTACTGTGTGACTAGAATAGTAATCAGATACTTGAAAGCAACCAGACTTCTTGCCCAATGTACTATACCTTTTCCATTCTGCCTGTGCTATAGATTTCCAGATCAAAATACTGAGGGATTTGCAGAAGATTTGCAACCTTCTCGGCATCAGCAGAATACTAGAGCATCATAATTAAAAAAAAAAAAAAAAAAAAAAAAAAAAAAAAGTGAAGAAAAAATAAAGACTTACACTACAGAATGAAAAAGTTTAACAGTTGTAAATACCAGTGAGAGATTTATTTTGTTGAAAAATGTACCTTTGATAGCAACATAGGAAGTGCAATAATGAAATGCTCAGTCAATTTATTTCTGTCATCTATCTGGGTTTTTCTTTCTTTTGCTGTCAAGACCTGCAAGTGACCAAAAATAACTAAAGTAAATACAATTTCTGCATATAGCATTCATTAGTTTTTCTAAAGTTTGTATTGCAAACAAAAATCCATGCAAGTGTATTTTTAATAAATCAAAAGAGGAGGGAATAAAGAACTCAAACACATTTGGACTGAAGAGTGATTAAATGGGAGGACCATGTGTCTGTCCTAAGAAGCCATGATTGAAAAGCAAAGTATCATATCATCCAGCATGGTATTGTCTTGACACATCAACATTTTTTTAGGATTGAAATTCAAATATAACCCAAGTCAGTGGAAGTTTTGCTATTGCTTCCAAGTGAATTGAGCTCTGGCTTTCACACATTAAACAGTGTTAATGTAAGACCTCAGGGCGAACTGAAGTATAATTAAGAAAACCAAAACCAAACCACACTGTAACAGTGATTTTCATTAGCAGATTCATGGCCTCATCTCTAAACTGGAATGTAATTCTCAGTGAGAACATACATCCAAGTTCGCAGAATTCATTTACAAATTTCAGTGACACATATACTGAAGCTACTAATGCTGTCATAGCAAAACCACCTTGAAACATTGAATAGAGAGACAACAATCAAAATGGCATGCTTCATAAAAGCTTAGATCTGGCTTTTTGGCTTCAGAAAAGGAGAGAATACTTTTGAAAAAAAATAATGATAATAAAATACTCAAGTTAGCTAATGATTTATGTATAGCAAAGCTGCCAGACTGCACAATAAGGGTTACAAGCTAAAGTCAGAGAAGAAACTATGAAGGTGAGTGCGTAATTAGAAATCTGCTCCCATTTCGACTCAGAGAATATGCTAGCGAGATCATGAGAACATGACAAACCTCTACTGACAAGTCAGAGATCCCTGCAGTTACCATCCCACAACTCATGATCTAACTGAAAAGAAGCAAAAGCTAAATGTCATACCTACATCTCTCTAAGTGAGGAGGAACAGCTAGAAACAAAACATGTGCTTGGATGACAGGTAGCCTATTGTGTCAGCAGGAATCCAAAACAGCCATGGAAGTGAAGGGGAATAGATTTGTAACCAGGGTAAGAAATGACTTCCATAGTACATGGCAGACGGCTGGATGCACACAGCAGCAACCACAATTCTTGTACCAACTCGCAGTGCAGCACCGCCCCTGCCAGCAAAAGCCGCTAGCTCATCAGAAGGCAACACAAATGCAGCTACCAAGTCAGGCTCCCACCCCCTAACAACCCAGTCATATTCTGGTGACCAAATATTGCTATTCAGTGGTGCTTTTAATTAATCTGGGTCCTTAGGATTATCTTGAGGCTCTTTAGATCATTCTTCAGAAGTGAAATTTATTTTACTGAAGTGTTTTCTTTAGCTTTGAAGAAGTACAGACATTGAAAATCTAAGACTAAGCAATTTGCTGAACTTAAGTGAACTGAACTGTAGATCTCTTGAGACAGAAAAAATACCTGGAAAGCTAATAGTGACATTATTTGGTGCTCCAAACAGAAAATACAAACATGAAATTTTTGTTAAATTTAAAGATTGCTTTGACTGCTAGAATGGTTTGCAGCTAGAGACAAAACACAGTTAAGATGTGCTTACAATACAGTTTTTGGTAATATAGGATAATACATGCTCGTGTAAATTTGAGTCAGTGCTTTCATAGATTCCCCCCTCACCCCTGAAATGTTTTAATAAATTAGGAATTTCTTAGAATATGCTTTATAAATTAAGGTACATAAAGCATGTTTAAATTGACAGTTTCTTGGAGCTTTTCTCCTGGGATGCCGTTTCTGGACATGAGGCTAATCTGCTTTTGGCACATAAAAATTAAGAAGCTAAGTAACTGCATTTAGTTTAGCAACAAAGAATGCTAAGTCTATCTCCAGATTTCACCTTCACTAACTCAGTGGCTTTCTTTAATAAAATAGTTTTGATTTTGCAGAACAGAACCTAACAGAAGTACCAAATGTTCACAATGAGTTTATTTCATTTTAGTCTAACCTAAATAAGAGAGGGACTACCAAAAATCAGGGAAATACGTTTGGGAAACTGAGACTCTTTTTGAACATGGATGCTGTATGTATGGAGAATACAGTTGAAAGCCTGTTGATCACCCTGACCTTGTAACTTATACTGAAATGCTTAAAAGTGCATGCCCAACCTTAGGCATGGAATTCCACCGATCCCCAAACAGTCACTACAAAATAAATGAAAGAGGCAGCTAGATTACAATATGGCCAGAATGACAAATTCTTAAATGTTTAGGGCACTCAGTGGAAGAGGCCAAAGAGGATGGATACATAAAACCACAGATGCATTCAGGTTGGTTCCAGTCCCACCCCTCCTACTCAAAGCAGAGCCAGCTCAGGTGTCAGACCGGGGTGCTCAGGGCTTTGTCCAGTCAGGTCTTGAAAACTGCCAAGGATGGAAACTGCACAAATTCTCAGCTTCTGTTCCAGCGCTTAACTACTCTCATGATGAAGATACTGTTGACTTTTTCTGGAAATTTTACATCCACATTAGCAGCACATTCCTTTTTATGGAAAATAGTCAGAGGTAATCTTGTTCTGATCCTGAGCTCTACACTTTCAATTCTAAACTAGACTTAACATTGAGGGCTGTAGATGTGGGTACATTACAAGTGTAAGCCAGGGGTATGATAAAAAGAACATCTTAAAAAAAAAAAAAAAAATTTCATGCTGTAAATTTGTATTACTTAACTTGGCAAAGCAAAACCCAAAATGAAACAAAGGTGTCCAAAACCAGAATTTCTACTATTTTTCTTCAAAAATGTTCACATGAAACAGGAAACACCAATTATAAAAATCTAATTTAAAAGTGTCAAAATGTGGCATTGTAGACAAATATTTTATGTTACTATAGCAACACACACAGGTCAGAGCTACCTAGTGCAGTACCACTTACTCTCTTGCCAGTGCCTCTGCCTACTGGAGGATGTGCTTCAGCAGCTTGTCTGATTGTACACACCATCAACTCAATAAGAGCACTCTCCTGCCGGTCAGACATTGCTATGGAGGGAAAATAACAAGTAACATCAGTTCTGATGTGCGTACAAGACATATTAAAGAAGATAAATCTACGAATGCAGTTGTAAAACACATGGAACAGAGAACAGAGACAATGTCATTTTGTCCCATTTACAAAACCAAGGCTTCCTTGCTTGCTCTTTGAATTACCATTCACATAATCTCAAAATGGATATGGCAGAACTGAAAGTAGTTCAGAGAAATGTGGTCTGGAAAAAGGATGAATGAAGGGGAATATAACAAAGATCTACAAAATAAAAGAGTGTCATGGAGGACAGAGAACAACTGACTGTTCACTGTCACTTCCTTATAAAATATTCTCACCATCATGAAGTATTATTTCTGTTCTTTGGGAAGTACTTCTGGTCACATCTAGAGGATCAAACCCCACTAGGCTATGCAGAAACAAAGAACCAAAGTGCCTAATTTCCAAGGGAAATTACCATATAAATACCATAATTGTAGCCGGATACCAAAAGGTCAGATTTTGAAACACTGAGATGATCAGCACATCATCCTAAGAAGCAGTAAGAGTACATCAGTTTTTCAACCACCTAACCCCTGTGAAGGTCCCTGAAGCAGGAGAATCCTGAAGATTGTAAAGGATCTTGAATGACCCTCATTACCGTTGCCACCAACCTTCCTGACTACCTTGTGCACACAGATCTATTATTAGCCAAAGGAGATTCGAAAACTAATGGTGAAAGAATCCCTTTATTTCCCCCCCCCCCTTGAGAATTCATTAGGTTTTAGCATTGTCTGCAAAAGCTCATATTTAATGAACACCACTTGAAGCACTTGTTTCTTCAAATTTCTATTAGCTATTTAATTTATTGAAATGTTCATGTATACACTAGTTATTTAAACATTCAGACAAGAAGAAGCCCTAGCCTTTAATATTAGGGAACCACAGTACAGCAGACTTCTCAAGACGAAAACTAAAGTAAATGCTGCTTTTGGAGCAAAGTGCATTAAAAATGGATTAAACTAAAATCTTCTTCAAATATGCTTTCTAAACAAACCACAACATAAACACCTTTATCACCCACAGTGAAACACCTTTTTAAGGAGTAATCAACAATATGGTGTGATAGCAATAAGGTTAAACAAATACCTTCTTCTCCTTGGACTGGTTCCTCCAAGAGCAATTCTGTCATACATTCCCAGTCTTTCAACAGTTCTTGAGAGCTCTCCCACAAACTGTCCACCAAATAGGCTGCATGTTCATGCAACTAGAAAATCCAAAGCAACCATGAGTACAGCGTTCTGGTACAAGCACCAATTCTTCAATTTTCTCAATCATTTGGCCACAGAGAGCGTCCTGGGCATGTACTTATGTTAGTCGGAAAGAAAATTTGGTTTGAAACTAACTCCGGAAGGTTGCCTTCCAACTGAATGGTACAACTGCACGACAACGGGGATATGTTTTAATGGAAAATGGAATAAAAACAAATTGAGCGTCTTTTTCATAAAGCAGCTTGTTTGTGAAAAATCTTTCTCAGAGTTTTGACCTAGAAGCTGTAAACTTACCTTTCCTCACTTTCTTACTGCATTATAAAAAGGAGAGATGGTGAGACATGAGACTAAGAGAGGGCTGTAATATATTCATTTTGAACAGGCATTTATTTTTCATACATGCTGCTACATGCTCAGAAAACAGTAGCAGAAATCCTACTGATTTCAGGGGGTATAGAATGAACACTAGCTTTAACTGCAAAAAATGTTTTCATGTGAATTAACACAGCTGGTGTAAAGTGAGAGAAATAATCCATAGGCTTCTACAGTTTTATAAACTGATCTTCAACCACTGTTAAAAGGTAACAAGCACAATATGCAGATCTGATTTGCTTGCCAGACCTGGGACTGACTCCTTAACTTGAAAACATCTAAGAGCATAGGGAAGGAGTCAGTACATTTACTTACTCTTCTGACAGCTTTGGGCAAAACGTTACGTGTCACAGAGCTTACTGATGCTTGCCACGGGTTTACGTGTTCCCTCTTCTGAATGCCCCCTCTCAGATTGCAGTGCTTACATCTTCTAGTCCTATGCAGATGGAAACTCCCAATTCTCTAACTCTTTATTAAAACTGGAGTCATAATATTCTACTTTGTTTCTAACAACTCTCTCAAAAACAGCACTAGCAAAAACTGGCCCTGAGAGAGAAGCGATCTCGGGGAGCAGCATATGGCTTGCATGGAAGGCACTTTGCTGATCATGGCTCTGGGAGCAAAGCTCCGTTTCTTTTCTCCTCAGAAAGATAGGCAAGCTTAACACTAGGTGACTCCCAATCACAGACACTCAGATTTAAGGTATTTTCACTGGAAAAGACGATGATCTATTACAATCTAAGTTTTTAAGAAGCTGGAACTAAAAATACATTCAGATAGCAGACTGAAGCCTCACACAAGTAGTGACATTTCATCCAGACTTAACTTGTAGGTTTATAAGGTGTTCTAAAAAATGTTAACATTAACACTGTACCTAAATGTTATCCTTCCTTCTCAGCATCTCTGACTGTGTTTCTTTTCATTCTCATAGTGAAGTCTCTTGTTCAAGGCCCATAACAATTAAAATACCTGATGGCAATACATTTCCTTTTGCTTTTTACACAAAATATATTACCCTCCCTTCTGTAGAGAAACATTTCTGTGAACCAGTCACATTTCTATGTAGCAATGAATCCATTGCCACCATACTACCAGCAACGCAGTACTGAGTACAGCGGCGACATGCAAGACTAAAATAAACCATGAAGAAGATTTTGAGTTGAATTTGCTTGATGGACAAGGAGATGGTGGGCAGGGTAAAGGGCATACAGTTTTTCTGAAACTATGAAAAAAAAAAAGAAAAGACAACTTGTTACTGTATGTTGATAAATCACTACTTATGTTCCAGGTTCTATTAAACATGTAAAGGTTAAAAATGAATTTTTTACCTCACTTTCAAGAAAGAAAAGAACCAACATTCTAATAAGGTTTCCATTTGGACTATTTCGCCCCCTCCTCTTTGCTAGAGCCTCTTCAGCTTGGGGATCATGTCTGCTGAACAGTCTAAAAACAAGCAAAAGGAGCTACCATGTTTATCAAAACAAATCTCATTTCTGCAATAATATGATGAGCATTCATTCTTGATATAGTAGATTTGTTCATAAAACACAGTGAAATATCTCAAGCTATTTCTTTCAAGGGAAAGTGGGCATGACCTCTGCCTGTCTGAAGAGATGAATTTATCTTCAGAGTCTTCAAGTTCACAGGGCTGGAAGAATTTCACACAGGAGTAAGCTCTCCAAAACATTTATATTGAAAGATTTTGCACAGTTTTATATATTTGTATAATTTGTACAGTTTTGCATTTTTAACTTATCAACTCTTACAATGGTGGTAGCACTTATTCCAGTAGTGCCTTAAGAACTTAAGGTTGTATCTTCACTGTGGTCACACTGACTGAGATACTGTATAAACAAACTTGACATCCCATTAAATGACCAACCTCAGGTACCAGTAACAGCATAAAGGACAAAGCAAGCTTCCAGTCAATTATCTGGGATTTTCTCCAGGTAAATTTTACATTCTGCATTGAGTTCCCTGATGCATGGCTAATTCCAAACTACTCTCCACACTCACATTTGCTAGCTTAAAGAGATCTCAGATGTGTCTAACATTACAGTTACAGCAATTATTGTTTTATTTCGAGAAGTCTGAAAACTGTTCCTTGCTTTTACAGTGAAACCACAGTCATAAAGCAAATTAGAAATGCAAAACACAGTATTCTTGTTTCACTACTATAATTGATTAAAAAGAGAAGGATGAGTTACACACAAACATATTTTAGTTAAAGACCTCACCTTTCCCCCCCTGCCTATCTTAATAGGTAAGAAATGAGCACCTCTGCAGGTCCTGAAATATCTTAAAACATCCACCTCAGGGTTGAGTCAGTGATCTTCTCTATTATTTGCTTTCCTTTGCTAACTACAGAAAGTCTAATGACTAGCTTACACATAGAAAGTGATACTTAAATGTATAAAATTAGGTGAGATAAATCCCATCTCAAATGCCTCAAGCAGATTCTAACTTATTTAAAAAGGAGCACCAGCTCTTATGTCTTAGCAGATACCAAGAGAGTGTTAGGAACGGGACAATCTTCTCTCAATGCTGTTTACCTTGAAACACATTTATAGAACACAGCATAGTATCTTCTTGTAAAGAAAAATTAGTATAAAGACAAAACTTCATCCTAAGTACACTGAAGTGCAGATATGTCTTCAAATTAATTTACCTTCAAGGCATTTTTCACAATTATTGTCACATGTTGATTAACAAAGGCATTTCAGTACATGTTTTTAAAAAGAACTTAACCATTTCCTAAAACATCATGTAGGAAACTAAACGTAACCGCATTTTGTAAATTAACTCCTTGAAACAGATAATGCCTGATCACAGAGACAAACTCCAGAAATGCACCAATGAAAGCTTACAATGACAGCGTGGACTTTTAAATCACTAATAAACCACAGAAAATTAGAACACTGGCAAAGGAAAACCAATGTTTTTACGGGATTTTTTTCTGTTGTGTTATCTTGGCACGAAAAATTATATAACCCGCATTCTGATATATTAAAGAACTCTAATGTCACAACCCATGAGGGGAAAAAAGAAAATTACTGCTAAAAGACTTTTAACTGCAAACTCTAAAATGAAAGGGTTAAAAAGGTTAACTGCTATGATGTGGCAATGTCCTGGTCATAGTTACTGATGCAGTATGATTCACATCCATGGAAAAGCTAGCTCATTTCCTTTGGCATAGTGTGTACGTGAAAGATGTAATCATGGTGTAATGTATTCTTAGGGGAAGTCAGTAAGTTTAGAAACAAATTTCTTAATTATTACTACATAAAAACCTCTCAAGTTCACAATTTTGAAATAAACGGTTTTAAAACTATGTAAAAATAATGACTGTATATCAGGTAGACCATCAGGGATGTGTAGGCCCTATATATACACTATCACAGGATTTAAAACAACTTTAATACAGAGAGGTTTATGTAGTCTTTTATATTTAGCCCTTGAGGAGTTAGGAAAAGTTTTCTGAATCCTACAGCAAGGAAAATATAAATCCAGTTTCTTCAAGTCTTTAGGTCTTGAATTTAAATAAGTCTGTATTTTAAGTTAAATACCTGATTTGCTAAATTGGGATATTTCACTTTATTGCTTCTTTGCCTTTTGATCTTACCTCTACTAGGAAGCATTCACAAATCTGGTCTTATTCCAGGGTAACTGATAACTTACTTTTTGTGAAGGAATTCTCCAGCTGCTACTGCAACAGGCCGGTGTGCTGAATACACCAAGTGATAAACGTTCTCACAGTCTTCATTTGACAGAGCTTCTTCGCTTCCACTGAAAGAGTCAGAAAGTAACACCTGAATTAAAACAAATGTTTAATTTCAACCCCCTTACCTCCCATAACTTACTGTTGACAGCTACAAGACTGATTTCCTTCATACAAAAACCTAAATGGTTGAACAGTGACTTCAAGGATCATTGGTTCAATTTCCAAATACAGAAATATTTAAAGGGCCTGTAAGACTGCAAGTTTGTCTGATTTCCTTCTCCAGGTTGTATCTATATATATATATAAAATATGAAAAAAATGTCACTGCTACTTAGAAATCTTGCCCCACTTAGTGACTTAGACCATCATACTAACTACAATGCACATATTGCAAGATGCCAAACACTCATTATCAAACATTATTAAATTAAAAACCTAGAATGTTACATGAGGAAAATGTAATTGCTTGCTTATTTACTTCTATAGCAATGTCTGTTTGCTTTCAAAGCTTTTAATTTTTAAAGTATTCAAATCTGGGACTGGGAAAACCTGGGTCAGCCTCCTGGCTTACTCCATTCTCACGAGTTAAATCTTTTCACTTGACAGTCCATGTGCTCTTGTGCACTGTGGGGCAGGAGGTCCCTCTCTGCTGGCCTGCAAAGCAGGAAGGAATATTCCCAATGCCAGCTGCTGAAAGGGCTAGGCCAGGTGGATGAAACTGCCTCAGCAATCGGAGAAGGCACAGAAATGCTCTGGACATGGGCAGTAGAAAACTAAATCAGATTATGCCACAAAGTGGGGGCCACAGAGCTAGCACCGTGTATCCACCAATCAAATCAACACACAATCACTTTAGGATTGAATCATGGTGTGCATTTAGAATTACAATAACGCTCATACAATAAATTGTCCATCGCTTTTACTGTAGTTATTGTGCTGACTAGATATAGACTTCATTTTCAACATCAAGGAACTGAATCTGATCACATCCTGCTGTGCTGGATGAAAGATGATGAAAAGTTTATTTTCCATAATTATTTATTGACAAGAACAAGCCACTTTTTACCCTTGTCTTGGGTAAACAACATAGTTGGGGCTTCTGCAGTTTCTGAGCTTAAGGTAGATTTTGTGTGTGAGTTTTCTTGAAAAATGCTATGAGTCATGGAAAAATTACATTCCATCAACAATATCAAAACATCACCACTGTTGCATACAGAAATATTACTTCCTCCTTGTTTAGTTAGCATTCATCAGAAACATTTACATATCAGGACTCTCTATACATCATTTGGCTTCATACTACAAATAATTTTTAACTGGTCATTCCCCATCATGATTGTTCATGACATCTTTTTGGAGTTCCTACCTGCCAGAGTATTGCCCTGTGCTGTTCAACGTGACCCATATTCTTCTGGTCCTAAATGCATTTAGCTATTTTTTCATCATGCAACCAAAGAGAAAACAGGACAGGAAAAAAGGTGCACCGGAGAATTTTTGACCTAAAATCTTACTGTGTTCATTGATAATAATGTAGAGAATAGATGTGTTTTCTACATCTCATTTGTGATCATATTTGTTATATTTGCTTTAAAAATGTAACAGTATGAGATTTCCATTCTCCCTAAGATTACAAGTCTAATATCTGTAAAGCAGAGTGACTCAAAAATAAAAAAAAAAGTAGTCTAGACTTCTTTACTAAGAGGAAAAACTAGTCTAATCTTTCATGCAAATTCTGCATGTCCAAAAACATTCTTCAAAGTGGAGCCACTGGGTATAAAATATGATGCAGAAATTCTACGCATCTGTTTGTAAAATGGATTTTCTTTAACATATGTTTTAATGAAGATACAACAAAAGCTTAGCAGTGGTCCTCCAGCAGTACACTCATGAGACTGCTGTGGACGGGTTGGTTCCAACACTCAGCATGCGGGATGATCTTTGGACTGGATCTTTGCCTCAGGGAAACCACTGCATCTCTGTAAGAAAAAGCTGGGGGCCTGGAAGCATATCTCCTCCTGTATGGCCAAGTGTTTAAAATTGCAAGCTACCACTGCCACCTCCACATAACCCAAACAAGGGTGTTGAAGCTAGTGTCTTTTCCCTGTCAGCTTATTTACCAGATGTCTCTCTTTGCAGCTGTGTCAGGTAATCAAATCTCCTAACACCAGATCTTTGCTTAGTTACTGCTAGAATTATGCTAGTAAATGTAACCTACAGATACTTGTTTTGGGGAGGACAATCATTTTGCCCTTGGCAGAAGGTATAAATGCCCTTTGGCATTCTTCCACAACAACAGATGCACTAATAGTCTCAATACATCAATACATTTTTATACTTTGCCTATTGTATTTCCATGAGATGGAATATCTTATTTTAGCTTCATGACCATATTATTACATATTCGGTTCAACTTTATACTAAGTGTAAAGTAACAGATTCACTTCATTATACAAGCAAAGAAATCAAGTCAATTAAGTATTACAGACTTAAGTAACTTTCAAAAGGAAATATACAGGTTTTGAAAAATACTCACTGAAGTATTAGCGTGACTAATCGAATGGCTTCCACAGCTACATCATATTCCTTATCGAGTGTCATTGATACAATGCGATCCTGAAAAGGAATTTTATTACAGTGACAAAACAGAAACACACAAACACCTGTCAGATGAAGAATACTACAGATTACAAAATAAATACTCTCGGAGAGAAAGATCTTTCAGCTAGGCACATGAAAGCCCTTTAATATTATTCAGCCATTTAATGTACAACTTAGGAAGCTGTGTGCTGTATGTACAATGGAACAATAGGCAAGTACACAGGAATGAGAACAAGCGCTTAACAAACAGTCCTTGTGCTTGTGTGTTTTCCCGGAAACAAGCAAGCAGATTTTGGAGTTGAAGCACTGTTCTGGACTGGTCTTATGTAACAGCTCTTTCCAGAAAAGGAATGTACTTGGGTTGGATGACAGCAGAAAAATTGCCCTGCTTCATCCCCCTGAAAACAAATAATTTTAGAGCAATGAATGCTGCATATATGCATATTTGGAAATACTGTGAAGAAAATCACACCTGAATATATGCACCTGCATATTGCTTACAAAGTTGTGGCCTTTATACCTGGCTACATCTTAATGTTTGAAGCTGATCTCAAGAATTACACTACAGACCTTCCACAGCAAAGTGGGAAAATCCATGGTTTGACTTTGTATTTTCCTATACTCTTTCTAGTGGAGACAAGCACACTACTTTCCAGTCAAATCTAATGATTTTATAACTTCTAAGGACCCTGTAGTTATGAGAAGTCTCCTAAGGGTTTCTTTCTCCTTAGTTTCAGTTTGCTTACTGGCAACCAAAAATAGCTGTAATTAGTGTATGTTGTCCTTCCTATCTGGGGAGAATTTCTATCCACCCATAAAAATGCAGTATGTCTTGATGTTCTTTACTTGACTGATCAAGTTAATGAAAAGAAATTGGGCCATCTGAAAATAAAACTTGATTTCTGTGGCTTGACTTGCTTCAGGATGGACTAGGTACTATATAACATTTTGGGATGTGAAAAAAATAGAACTCAGGGACTGGAAAAAAAAATGGAAGTGTTAGGGAAAAACAGTGAAAGTCACCAAGAACAAATCAAGACAAAATAAAGGTGCTCACCTCTTTTCTCTACTATTCCAGGCATTTAAAGGCTGAAGGTGAATATCAAGCAACTGATGCTTATTTCAGTATTGAAATTTAGGAATAGTATGCAAAGAATGCATGTGGCTGTCTCAAGTGTTACCTCTCAACAAAAACAGGTCTGTAGAGATACTTTGTGCCACTATGACTGAATACACCTCTATCAGTCACCATTAAGTTCCTGGGAAATTTGATGCATTTAACTGTTATATGTAGACAGTTTTAGAGACTGTGAGAAGTCCATGAAGAGACTCAAACAGTGAAATAACTTTCCAAACAGGAAATTCTGTGTATGGACAAGACAAAAAAATTGCTGTCAATTTTTCCTAACATTCTGGCCAAGGAACCACAACTAATAACATCATCATCATCATGAGAAAGAACAGCCAGAGATACTGATCTTTAAAGTTTCAGTGGAATTTCATATACTCCCTCAAAGCCTATCTTAAACTCCAGGATACTAACTGCACACAAAGGAGTAAGCACACAAGTATAAATCTCCTTCTACATCTCTGAAAAAAGCCTGGAAGGGAAAGGACCTTCTCTCCTGCCTACAGAACAAGAGGTACTCTCTGAATTTGGAGTCCTTTTGGACTTTGAAGCCAACTAATGTGATGACATTTTCTTATCCAAAAAGACTGTTCTCTCCTCTCAATTTTTTCCCAGAAACATCAGGCTTAAAATAAACAGTATGGATGTGTCATTTCTTATTTTCTGCCTTGGTGACAGCATCTCTGTGATGGCACCTGCCAGCCAGGCACCAAGATCCTTGAAAATGAGACCCGAACACCTAATGCCTCTGGAAGGTGTAACTTCTGTGGTTTAGTAAGTTACAAACCCCAGCTGCTCAATCTGCTTTGACAAGAAATTTCCTGTACCACTGTACAGCAGTAGAACAGGACACATGCCTGTATTTTAACTTGAAATATGAACTTCCACTATCTATGATCAGTTTGCAATTATGTATTAGGCTGTGAACAAGGCTGGCTGAAGAGCAAATCCACCTCCTTTTGCCTCTCAGGCCATGGAGACAGCACTCTCCTGCAAAAGGTCAGGGATGAGGGACAGGAATCAAACAGCTGCATCTAAATCTGCTGGTGTCTTGACTTTGGCACTGACTGCAAAAGAGCTAATTCACATCTTTTCCATATAATTTCAGTAAAGGTTTGTATCAGACAGGACTTCTTGATGGAAAACAAAAGTCTCATCTTTGATGGATAAGATTTTTTTTGACAGACAAAGCTTATTTTCTAGCATATCACCTACTCCTAGAAACACAAACAAATGCTGGAAAGAACACACATCTTTGCTTTAGAGAAGTAACATTATCAGATCCTTGTCACAGCTATCTAGAAGGTGGTGAAATACTAAACACCCCCGTACAAGTCATTCTGGATCAAATTAATTTATACTTTAAACAGCTAGATCTCTAGAGAGATTTCTCTTGACAGTTTGAATGGATTGAGCTGAATACCAGCTGAACTGTGCAGGTCCATTAAAGCCTGATGAGGAAATATAAATAAGCAGACATGGAACTGAGAACGGCATTTATGTCAATTATTTTTCAAGGGGGTGGTGGTAAGAGTTTGTGGTGGCAAGACATTTAAGTAATGTATCACAGATTCAAAAAGCATTAATTTGAAACTTTGCTCCATCCTGGTGCCAAAGGCTGCATCGCTGTCAGCACAGCTGTAAATCCAAGTGCAGGCACTTGGGCAATGCCAGCTTTGTTCTCCTGATGTGCCTGGAAACTGAAACTGATGAATCATCATGTTAAACATACCTGTTCTCTAGGCTCACAGGGACTTTCAACTCACCTTTTCTCTAATTTATTTCATAATGATACAGATTTCTGTAGTAAAAACAGCTTTAATGGAACAAAGACAAGGATTCCTAGCAAGGTTTCCCTTTCCTTTGAATCTTTTTGACAGAAATAAAAATTCCTTGTGCCATTCTAAACCAAGAAGTGATGCACAGGCTAACCTGACTTCTTCTAACAAAGAAAATTGCCTATACTGTGAAAAAAAGACAGGAGAAAGTATTTAACTTAGAGGTTTCATGTTCCTGTAGTTTTTTTGAAGTACATTACTGAGTAACTATTTCTCAAAGTGCCTCCAATTGTCTTGAAAAGTTTTGCTGGTGGATGGGACAGGTTCAGACTCAAAGCAGCATTTTCTCTTACAAATTATAGGAGGCTAAGAGAGAAGCATCCAGCACATTTTCTAGTAAAGAGAAGCAGATATAGAGACCATGAGAGTTTTAGTGGCCTATTTCAAAATAAATCAAATTACAGAAGGAGCAAATATAAACAAATCTATAAGTCTGCCCAGGTGAAACAAGAAAAGCAGCAGAGTTGGAGGGATCATTTTTCTGGAGAGTTAACTAGTATTTCTTGTTGTCCTGAGATGGTAAGCAAACAGACTTACAGAGACATTACAGAAGTAGTCTGAGGTCTGAACCTGTTTGCCAGGTACTCTTCTATGAGAGGAAAGTTTGTCTTTACTGCAACAATCTCAGAAACGGACTTCATAAAATTAGAAGAATATAGGCCCTGAAGTGATCTCACAAAATGATCTAGTTTCATCTCCTACTTTAACATCAACTACACCTAGTTCATTCCTGACATATTTATTTAATCTGCCCTTAGAAATCTCAAATGAAGGAGATCAATAATCTAACTATATAATATAACTAATAATGCAACTAATAATATAACTATAATTTTGGACAAAAAGCCTTCCTTAATATCTAGACTTGCAGCTTAAGCATCTTTTTTTCTCCATCTCAAGTGAATGTGGTAAAAGGCTGATTATCATTATGTTTTTATGAAACATTTACATACAGGGAAGATACGACAAGTTTTCTGTATTTTGTACTTTCCTAGATCAAACTGGAGGAGTTAATAGTAACTGCAGTGACAGAGAAAACCAGTGAAGCAGTATAAAATCTACAGTGAGAAGTTTTTAAGTCTCACGCACAGTAGTTATTTACAAGTATTTAAATCTCCACTTCTTTTCTAAACAGAATTTTTCATCAGCATTATATTCATGATTTAAACAAAAATAAGTTAGTCTTTCTTTGGGAGGTAGCCTCTACCGCAGTTCTGTGTTCTCCAGAACACAAAAGTGATGGTAAAAGGTGCCAACCAACGTGGTAACAGTGTCTGAAAGCTTTCTTTGCAGAGCATCCAAACAGAAGCAATGACAGTATTTCTACACTCATCTCTCCAGATACTTCACTCGTGAAATAAAGCAGTCTTGCTTTAACAGCCGCATTCTCATCAAGATATTAAGCAAAAAGTCAGCGTGTTTGTGCTAGTAAAAAAACCCCATGAAATATTCCTCCAGTACTTATCTCCTAAACAGCACAATCATGCTTAGGGGTTTGTCTAAAAGCACAGTGTAAACTCCCATTCTGCAGCAAGGTATTTCACTGTGCAGAATATTGTGATGCAGATCAAAGTATCTCTTCCTCCAAAACACAAGCACATATTCAGCTAAAAAGCTGTCTTACAAACAATCTTTTGTTACAGGCTGTTACTTTCAGATGTATTTTAGATTGTATGAAACACCCAGTACACATCCTTAAAATTCAATAAATCTAAAATTAAATAAGTACAAGCAGATTGAATAATGTATAAACTATCAGTAATACAAACAGATAAATAATCATCCTGGCCAAACCTGACAAATCTTACAAGATAAACACTGTAAAATGAATTTGGCTTAATCTCAGCATTCAGTAATACAGTTCTACTATTGCAGTTACAAGCCTTGTCACAAACAAATGAGTTTATTTTTGCATTTAATATACATGACTCAAAGACCGGAACAGGATGAGATAGACGATATTTTTATTTTCTGTACTCCTTCCAAAAGTTTTATTTCCTCTTACCTTGAATCTATTAGTGAACAGCTCCAGTTTTGGAAATAGCTCTCTGTTGGTATACAGACTCTGAAGAGCTTTCAAACACTTCAACCTCACTTCACCTTGCTAAATAAAACACACTAAGATTAGCTGATAGAATACCCTAATCAAATGCACATGAATATTAAATAATATCATATTGTAATTTATTTAATGTACATTTACAATTTTATGCAAATGAGTTACCAAAGCCAATCTGCAATTCAGCTAAACACCAAAAACCACATGCAGCTGCCTACAAACAATGTTAAATTTTCTCCCTATTTGCATATATAAAGAATTTAATGTGCCATCAGTTAAACGTCTGTTACTGTTTCCCTTTCAAGTGACTCCACAAAAAGATAAAGAATGTAGCAAGTAAATACAAAATAAAGACGTATGATCTCAAGGTAGCTGGTGAAAAGACAGTGCGGCTATTTATCTTCAGGGAAGAGACTACAGGTAACTTCCGCATGATATCTGGTGTTTACAATCAACACGAAGTGTTCAAAGTGACTGAGCATGGGCTGCGTGTAGCCCACTCAAGCAACTCTGCCATCTCCGAGCATTGTCTTTCCTTTTCCCAGGGATGGAAGGAATACACACCGAATTTATTATTCTGAAATTTTCTACAGCCCGTCTCTCATCATAGGACAGGCACAGGCTGAAGGATACAAAAGGCCTGAGAGACCCTCCAGTGTGGAGCAGGCTACTGCCACAAGAACAGTGCATCTAAGCCACAGCCTGCGGAGCCCTCAGGAAGAAGAGCAACTTGTGTCTGTCTGAGTTGTTCTGGTGGAAGCAGCTCATTCCCAGCTGCTCTTTAGATGGGGATTGCTTTGATCCGGTGAGCTGTAGGCAGGAAAAGTGGGCGTCATGAAACAAGTGCCTATGGATCAATGTTTGTCACCTACAGGAACACTGATGATAAAGAGAAGGGCTGGATCCCCTGGGCACATGTGCATCATCTGGCCAGCTGCAGATGTACAACTCAGCTCAACTGCACAGTCTTGGAAAACTATGGATTCTTGTTTGAAAATATTTGTAGATTAAAAAAGGTTATAAACACAAATCTGCTCAAACATAATCTGTAGAGTTCACTGCATTGTGAACTTAACTTTTATGAAAGTGAGTACATTCCCAAGTCTAAGGCCTTAAGCTGCTCAAGAACTAATACAAATTATTGAACTTTATAAATAAAACTCCATACCCAGAGGGCTTAATTTCTGAGTCTGTCTTTTCTATAATCAAGTCTGTAATTAAAAAACTGCTCAAACTAAAAACTGAAAGAACATTCAGAGACTGACATAAAACCAGAAGCTAAAAATCCTAATTTTTAAGTTTCTTTCCTCCTCCCCACCTATTTCAAAAATTGAAATAGCAGATAAAAGAAGGACAGAAGTTGAAAGGAGGATTTTTGGAAGAACTCTTCCTTGAAGAACTATTGTTCCTGAGAAATCTTCTCTTTATATCTGGAGGAGTCTCTGATCACTCATGCTCTCTTCTAGGGATCTTTTTGACTACCATTGCAGAGGAAGTCAATGAGATGAAAGTTATGTTTAAAGGATCTATCATAAGATCTGTCAAGGTACAGAAAAGAACTTTATTCAAGAAAAATTTTATATGGATGTGATCAACTGCTAAATAAACACTGAGAAATGCTGCTTGTCATCTTCTTTTAATGGTACCTGTGTTGCAGTACCAGAAATGGTGTTTCCTCTGTTGTGTGGCATTCAGAAAGGCCAGGATCTCTGGAGTCACCACTAATCATTAGAAGAGGCTGTAAGCCTCTTAAGGCCTTATCTTATTTAGCCACACAGGATCAGTATCAGTTTTGGCATATGATGAACACTATGGAGCAACAGTGAGGTAGCAGGTTTAGTTACAGCTCCACTGAAGACTGTCCTGCTTGTGAGCAGATGACTTGTTATTCAGCCAGTGCTGTAATTCCAAAATGCAAAACTCTAAACTGGTTAGGTACAGAAAAAAAATCAGTGCCAACAGCAATGAGACTTGAGACCTGTGCAGATAAGGTTTGGATTCCCCATGGAGTCCAAAGCCCTTGTGCACTTCACCAAACACCATGGATCAATGGTCCCAGAGTTAAGTTCAGGCCTGATACCAAGGGTCTCTATAAGCCTTAAGTGAGCAAGTCAAGCGAGGTAGATAGGAAGCAAACCTGTGAACATTTGGTACTTGCACGGCCTGCCAGGAGACTGAAGCCAGATGCTAACAAAAGTGTACTGAACCAGGCTATTATCGTCCTGCCGCACACCAGATCCGAGGCAGAAGCCAAGTGACTGCAGGAGCCCGTGAGGAAGAGAGAAAGGTTGTGTTACACCTGGTCTCTCCAGCTGAGAGTAAAGGCCCAGGAGACACAGAGGCAATCCTTGGAAATGACTGCCTTTCTTGGCAGACAAATAATAGGAGGAGGACTTTCTCTGATAGCAAAAAGGTCTGTTTTTTAAACTGTTGGTCAAGGATGGAATTCATCTCTTTGGAGAGGGAAGAGCCCCTGCACCTCAACTTGCTAATCCTATTGAGAAGGTTTTCAGAGTCAGCGGAGATTAGTGACAGGAACCCACGAAGAAGCATAAACAGCAATGACCTGAACAAGGACTGAACTGAACTGGTGTCTACTACAGGCCGCCTGATCAAGGGGAGACTACTGACGAAGTCTTCTTCCTCCAGCTCTGGGAGGCTTCGCGCTTGCAGACTCTTGTCCTGCTGGGGGACTTCAACCACCCCGACATTTGCTGGAAAAGCAACACAGCAAGCTGTAGGCAATCCAGGAGATTCCTGGAATGCATTGAGGATAACTTCCTAAGCCAGGTAATAGACACCCCTACCTGAGGGGATGCAATACTGGACCTGATGGTCACCAATGCAAGTGAGCTCATTGGTGACGTCAAGACTGGAGGCAGCTTGGGCTGCAGTGATCATGTGCTGGTGGCATTCACACTCCTGAGGGACATGGGAAAAGCGAGGAGTACAG